GACCGCGTTGTTGACGGTCCGTGCCGATGGTCTCATATTGCCGATCCTTTTTGTCATCCGAGGCGAGCCTGGCGGTGTCATTGAGACGAACGAGTTTAACGAGTACCCAGGTCACTTCTACGCGATGCAGAAGAAGGCGTGGATGAACGGTGATGTATGGAGGTACTATCTGCGGGATGTGCTTGTCCCCATTTATTGAGAACCCATCGGTTCTTTTGGTTGACAACTTTGACTCCCACGTTGCGGATGAGAGCGAACGCATTGTCGGTGACGAGTTGGGTAGTGAAATTTGCGCACTTCCTCCAAACAGCACATCGCACTGCCAGCCATTGGATGTTTCTCTTATGGGTCCGTTTAAGCAGCACTTGCGTGATCTATGGGTTATCACCCAAAACACTGCCACGACTACAAAAGAAAAGCGAATCGTGATGTTTGAACGCGCCATTAAGGCATGGGACATGATCACTGAGGAAGAAGTACGTGCTAGCTTCGTGAAGGCACTGCCAAAGCAAGCTTAGTGTGTAACAAATTGAATACAGAATGTTTATGTCAAATGTATGTTATTTTTTTGCCCCATTTTGACTTGAAATCAGTCAAATCGCCCCCCCCCTGATGCCATTAGGGGGGAGTCGATCTATAATATTGCCGCCAAGAGTCTTTGTATTAAAGTCTAGGGGTCCCATCCCAGAATGATCTTGGATTTCTACAACACGAGAACACCTTTGCCCCTTCGCACCGGCTTATCTCCCCGAATGGTACATTTAGACCAGAGGCCGCCCCGGTGGAAAGCCAGTGCTTGGGATGGTGGAGTATGTAGCCTAGGACCGCCCCTCACCTCTCGGAGAGTTTAAGACGAACACTTGTCTCGATGGCGGCAAAATCAAAAATGAGGCTTCAGAATTCAACAGCCAGGGAAGGACTGTTGTTGATAGCACCGTTGAACGTCCTGTCGCATGTTTCTAGAAAATCCACTAGTACTAAGCATACTATTAGTAATACTAAAGATTCTGCGGCTGGAGACCATCGACCCAATCCGTATTTTCAAAAATTTGTCTTGATGTGACTATATAATAGAATAGATTTTCCCAAAACAAATTCCTTGCATTCTTCTTGATTGTCACAATGAACACGTTACACATTCGTGTTTCAAAATCGTGCTGGACTCAACGCACTCCATGAATCCGTGTTCTCTATGAACGGTAGAGCAGTAAAGTTGAGCCTTTGCTGATTTTTATCTTTAATATCTATAACCTGTATAATCTAATATTGTAATGCTAAATTCCAATCCATCCATCTGTTCTATTTTGGGATGACCTGACACGTCATTGGTCAGTGCAATATCCAATCACAACGATAATTGGCGGCACTATTCAGCGTCGTTCCCTGTATGTCCACCGAGTTTAACTCTCCACACAACCTCCGATCCAACCCAATGTGGCCCGCGTCGACTAGGGTACTGCAAACCCAATCTTGTATGACTATTATCAATGCCTTCTACGCGGAATGATCAGCATTATATGAGAGAGGTTTTGACTCGAACAAATAACGCGGTATGATTGGGCAATACAAAGTTATCCTAAATTGGTTAACATGCCAAACACACCATTGCTAAAACTTGATAACCTTTGCTAATCCTTAAAATATATATCTAATTGTTACAGGTGTAGTCACACAATAATCTCATAACGTGGCCGACCATTGATGTGCCGATTTTCCCGTATTTTGTTTCTTGATTATTTCCATCAGTTTTTCTGTTATACCTATGATACATACCTTGTTGGAAAGATTATTTCAAGCACTTTTACCTACTGTACTCCCAACAATGATAGATTTAAACAGTGTCAAGCTGGCAAAATAAATTTCGCAAACATATCACTTTACACTATCGACCATTGATGTGCCGATATTTATACTTGAAGTAAGTATCGAAATCAAGATGGGTGATATTTCTTCGACGAACAGCATAAAATTAAATGATAAAGGCTTATTACATTGCGAAAGGTATAATATATTGAGGGTTTGTACTGTTGTTCCAAAGCCGTGCGTTATATTCATCAATGACAACCAGGGCGTGTTCGACAACATGATCGCTCCACGACCGACGTGACAAACAAGAACGTTTGACAAGAGTCATAATTGTATTACGCAACTTCATTTACATGATTTACGATAACTCCAGAATGACTTCGTGATCGTGCGAGCAGCGAAGAACGCATTACGTAATATAATCACAAGATGTAGGCCAACTCAAGTACGACTACATCATCGTTAGACCGTCAAAGCGATAAACAGAGCGTTTGACATAAGTTATAATCTCACTACTCACAGTCAAATTCATTCACAAGATTTACGTTTACTAGAGTACGACTACATGATCGCTCGAGCAGGAAGCGACAAAATAGAACGTTTGACAAGAGTCACAATCTCATTACGTGACTTCATTACACCAACTCGAGTACGACAACTTAATCGTTAGACTATCAAAGTGATTGACAAAATTTACGTGCATACACCCAGATTTGATCTCTCTCATTTAGCAATTTTCCTCCTGGTGCCCCATGGCGGGTACCTGCGGCGTAATGTTCGTCACCACCAAGTGTACCTGCGTTCGTTTTGTACCCTGTTACTGTAAAACTTCTCTACAACGGAGGTAGGTGGGGGCAGAACAATGGTTAACCAGTGAAGATTAGTGTTCGAGGTGGGCACGATGCCTGAGGGAAGTCTGAATCAGCTGGCAACTAACTAATAATTAATAGAACTTTCATTAGCGTCTGTTGACTTTATTTACAAATGTTAACCACAGTTAATTAAAATCAATGAAATTATTTGTTTATAGATCTAAATCACACAATCTTCCACATTATTTTCGGCTTGGCGAGTAGCCTTCTTCTTGCGCTTGGGCTTTGCTTCAGCTTGAGCTTGCAGTTAGTCGTGGAAATCTGCCTTGAAAAACTTACCGCTCACGGTGAACGTCTTTCTCGTCGCGCTTTTTCGCTTCTTTGTTGGCGGGAGAAGTAGCACATGATCACGAACACTATCAACCCTTTTCTGCCACGTCTTATTGACCCCAATATCGGCAACTTCAGACGGCTTGAAAAGAGACAGGCGGTACAACATCTTGTTCAACGATGGGGGGTATAGTCCGGTGCACAAAAAGCCGTTTGCAATCACTGATTGGTTCGTCGATTGAGCCCAGACTCGACAAGCGATTTCGATGGAGCGCTGCTTGCTGATACATGTGGACACGTCAGTCCACATGGTATTCTCAATCGCTATCGGAAGGCCTGCTTGAAGGGCCTGAAGACTGTAACATCCAACGGCTGGAATAGATGGGTTGCATTGACGGGTAGGAGTTGCAGCAAAATAAATTCAACAACGTTGCCTCTGCTTGGATGTACTCCGAGTGGTGCGACGAGCATCCATACAAAATCAACAAAATGGGGCGTTGAGTTGATTCCGGGATACTTGAGTTGAGCATCGCCAGCCATTTCCGACAAATGAAAGAGTTCGTCTAGTCTTTTTCCGACGATGTGAAAGTGGTACCAGGGATACTGAAGCTGTCGCACGCCTCCGTAGATACTCGGTCACCGGGGAGCACAAACAATGGTGGTATCTTGGTTCCGTCCGCGGAAACACATGCGACAATGGTGACATGCGCGGATGGAGTTGATGCCTCCCCGAAACACGTGTTTTGTAATGCGATGTACGACAACTTTCTTTGCTGCCTTTGATGGCGCGAAGCTTGTTTCGTTCATGTTGAAAATTCTCCCAGGGTCCATGTTTATGAGCGCGATGGACGTGGACAACTCTCGAAAGAACTCCTCGATGGCCGGATGATCAACACCGTTCCGTGGTTTGCCGAGCACTTGCGCCTTTGAGACCCGTAGTTCTGGATGGCGGTCGAGGAACCGTTTTGTACCACCCGGTGGATAGGTTCGTCGCACAATTTTGGTGGTCTTTTGTACAATATGATGACATCCAATTGGATGGCCATCACGTTCCATGGCAAGAATCCACGCGACGAGATCGTCTTCAAATTGCCTTGGCAGGTGTGGCACGCGTCCCATCGTGACCAGTGTGTCGTTGTTTACGCTGTTGATTGTATCAGCCACATGCTTACGAAGCGTACGCGGAGGGATGTCATACGCTTTCGCCGCTGTGGACACTGTGTGCGTTTTGGCTAGCACTTCTTGGACGGCAATACTCATGGTGTCGTGCGAGTACAGCGTTCGTGGTGGCATTTCAATTCAAAATCGTCAACCTTTCAAACACTATACTTTTTCCCTCCATCATATTTCATAGTTCAATTTGACAAGAGGTTTGTTTTGTCCAATTAGATACGAAAGGCAATGCTATTGGTAGAAACATGTTGGCCGATCAATGAACAATCGGCACATCAATGGCTTGTCACACAACCTATAATTTTCTGAGACCTCTTGAAATAAAAAGGGTCGTGGATGGTTTTGACCACTGGAAGTTATCTTAAACTGGTTTTTTACGTTACCCTCATAAACTGTCGCAAACTCGTACCTTGAATGAAACACACGATCATACTTAACGTTAGAGGTGTCGTCGACACAGCCCACTGATCAAAAGCATGAAATTATATCCGTTAACGTTACTCTGACAATGCACTCCAAGGTCAAGCGGCTTAATGCAGCAGTGACACGTATCCATCGTCTGCAGTTGCTGTCTGGTGCTTCTTGGCTACGACCACGACCAGCGCAGCCATTCCACAGAGGCCAACCATAACCAACGGACTTGAAAACGCTTGGGCGAACGCCATCGCGGGTGCCGGCCCTTGTTCCGTGCATCGTTTAATCGTCGAACCGGGCACAACGGCGCAGTTATACGCCGTCTTCTTGGCGCAGCACGCCAGATCCGTCGCCTGGTCCAAGTAATTCGTCGTGGGGGTGGTCGCATTGGACGGGAACACCATCGCGCCCCCACAAGCTTGAAACGGCGCCGGGTTTTGGGTGTTTCCAGGCGTAGGCCACGTATTCGCGCACGCGTCCTTGATAAAGCGCCCCTGGTCGGACATTTCGTTCGAGTTGAGTCGGGGGACGTCGCAGTTAGTGAGCGCAAACACGCGTGAGATGCCTGCAAAGAGCGCCGGTCGTTTCTCTCTGATGTCGTGGTGAAACCACAAGTCGCACGTTGCCGTGACGGACGTGACCTCTTCGTTGCGCAATTTCAACGCAAATGCTTTGGCAAACGTGACCTTGGGGATTCCATTTGGTTTGGTCCATACTGGCGTCGTCGACGTTGTTTCAGTAGCCCCGTCGTACTTCCACTTGCACGCCAGCGCATTCAATTTATACCCATTCAGTTGGCTCGCGGTGATAGTGACAGCGTTCGCATCGACGTTGGACGATGTGGATTTGCTAAACTCGTTCTTGTCCGTGTCAAAGTTGAATGTGGCGATGCTAAAGTCGGAATTCTTCACGTTGCACCCGTCGTTGGCCCATAGGTTAGTGAACCACGCGTTGAAGTCAGCATTCGCAGCGCCAATGAGGACGTTTTCCGTAACCCCATCGTTGCTCGGTCCGGCTTGGACGACACCAGCCAAGAAGACCGACATGATGGCAAGGCCGACGCGCATATTGCACTGGGGTGACTGCTTTTCCAGGCGACAGGGTGAAAGGTCGCGGACGTTTTCGAAACGAAAACAAAACCGGATAATAACGTAGGTATCCGGACGATTGTTGTGGGGCTGCGAAAAGATTTGCAATTTTCATCGATCAGCAAGATGGAAGACATTGGGCTTAGTACCGCTGTGGACATTGAAGATGTGAGCATGCTTCCTGAGGTACGTCATGGCATCATCATGTGCATGCTCGTTGTATATCGTCATGATCATATCAACATGCAGAAGCAAGAACAGGAAGACGACATGTTCTCCAAGTTCAAGACGCTGGAACGCCACTTGGAGTTCCTCGACATCCAGGAAGGGTATATCAAGGACGAGATGAAAAACTTGAAGCGCGAGTTGATCCGCGCCAAGGAGGAAGTGAAGCGCATTCAGTCCGTGCCGCTGGTCATCGGTCAGTTTTTGGAAATGGTCGACGCCAATTACGGCATCGTCGGGTCCACGGCCGGTTCCAACTACTACGTCCGCATCCTCAGGTTCGTGTCTCGTCCCTCACATGGCTTTCTCATTCTTCTACGTCTTCTTCTCCACGCAGTACTTTGGATCGCGAGCGCTTGAAGCCCAACTCGTCCGTCGCGTTGCACCGCCATTCGCACGCCGTCGTGGCGATCTTGCCTCCAGAATCAGACTCGAGCATTCAAATGATGCAGATGGAAGAGCGTCCAGACGTGTCGTACTCGGACATTGGGGGCATGGACATCCAGAAGCAAGAAGTCCGCGAAGCCGTGGAGCTCCCATTGACACACTTTGACCTGTACAAGCAGATCGGGATCGATCCACCGCGCGGTGTGCTCATGTACGGTCCCCCCGGCACGGGCAAGACCATGCTGGCCAAAGCCGTGGCCAACGCCACCACCGCGTCCTTCATCCGGGTGGTGGGTTCTGAGTTCGTCCAAAAGTATCTCGGCGAAGGCCCGCGCATGGTGCGCGACGTGTTCCGTCTTGCCAAGGAGAACTCGCCGTGCATCGTGTTCATCGACGAAGTGGACGCCATCGCGACCAAGCGCTTCGACGCGCAGACCGGCGCCGACCGCGAAGTCCAGCGCATCCTGCTGGAACTGCTCAACCAGATGGACGGGTTCGACCAAGCGACCAACGTCAAGGTAAAACCCCGAACCCCCAAAACCCCGAAACCCCGCTGAATGCTCCAATTTGTAGGTGATCATGGCCACGAACCGCGCCGACACTCTGGACCCCGCCCTCCTCCGCCCCGGGCGGTTGGACCGGAAGATCGAGTTTCCTCTGCCCGATCGCCGCCAGAAGCGGCTCATCTACCAAGCATGCACGGCCAAGATGAACTTGGGCGATGAAGTCGACTTGGAGGATTACGTGAACCGCCCAGAGAAGATTTCGTGCGCGGACATCGCGTCCATCTGCCAGGAAGCTGGGCTTCAAGCAGTTCGGAAGAATCGGTATGTGATTCTGCCCAAGGATTTTGACAAGGGATACAAGAACGCCATCAAGCGCGCCGACACTACGTTCGAGTTCTACCACTAAGTCAGCTACTAGTACTACTAGGCCTACTAGTGCCTTTAGTTGGTCAACTTATTAAGCATAGTAGTAGTCATCACCATGTTACGAATCCTGAATACGGATTCGAAGGATTGACAAGATTCAGTATATACAATACCAGCGAGCTCTAGAAGGTTACACTTAATATGTAGGGTCATGCCCGATATATATATATTGCACAGCCAAGTGTACAGGAAACCCCGAAACCCCTTGACCTCGATGGAATTCCCCAACCCCGAAACCCCCAAACTTAGGAGTTTATCCGCACAACCCCGAAACCCCTTCGAGCAAATATGACCAACATTCATGGCACTGCTATTCACTAGGAAACCCCGAAACCCCGAGGCTTTGACTTAGGTTAATGGGCTAATTCGGGTAGATTTGCGCGCCGTCTTTGGTCCGCACGACTTTGACAAAGTAGGTCGGTGGGAGCACCCCTTTGTCGCCGATACCTGCACATAGCAGCACGTTGTTGTCGGATCGAAAGAACGGGATGCCGTCGGCGATGGCGGCGGCCACGTCCACGTAGATCTTGAGTTGGGCCGACGTGCGCATGCCACTGATCACGTCGGTGGACTCTCCCGCTGCAAAATGAATGTGATTGCGAGCCATGCGACAGAGTCCGTGGTGTACAATCGACTCCCAGTGCCGAAAGTACGTTCCATGGATGCAGATTAACCCTTGTTGGGCTTCGTCGAGCGTGATAGGAACCAACAGGTCGCTGTCCTGAACGGCCTTGATCGTGTGTCCCTGGTTCGCTCGGATGCGCCATTTCGACGTGTCAGGATCACTCGTGTCTAATGCAAATCGCTGCTTTTTGCAGTTGCGGACCACACGTTGAATGTCGTCGAGGGTGGCGCCATGGACCTGACGGAGTGCCATCATCGACGTGAGTGGGATGAATCCATCGCTCGAGATGGGAAGCTTTAGTTCCACAGCGCCGTGACGAAGCACCCACGTCATCGCCTTGGAGAGGCGCGTGTCCGCCGGGGAAGGTGCGTCGGACGACATGGAGCGTTGAAAAGTGCTTACAATAACAAGATGAAACTTGGAGTGGATTGAGTGATGGTAGTAACAATATCTCACCAACGGATTCATAATAGATATTTTGAAAACGTTTTGACTTGTTCAGGATATCATAATGGTGAGATATTGTGATGAGTTTGGGTATATATTGACCGATTCTGCATTGCCGATGTCCTCGTTGGAAGCATCAACATGAAAGGCCAACGACGTTTGATTCCGCAGTATGTCAAGGTAGTTGTGGGAACGACCCTGGTTGCTGTTGGAGGTAGATGACGTTCCCCATATACATGCATGATAACCTCTCTGTCTCCCTTGCAGGTCTTGTCGCTACACATATCGACACCGTCCCGCAAACTGGCCGGAAGCGCGTGATGTTCCTCAATCGAGGTGGGTCTGCACTGCCAATCCCTGTGGTGATCAGCAGTCTGTGCTTAGAGATGGAGCGTGAGCTGGGGGATCAAACGTTCAAGGCCATCTTGGCCGAGCATGCAGGACGCATCCTGCCTCCCACACACCCAGTACTCGTCCGTTGAACCTCCCTATCATATCTGACTCGCCTTAGAAAGCGAAAATGGTCAAGTACGTGGGCCAACGCATAGCCAACGCAGCCAAGCAGAACGACTTCAAGTGGGAGTTCGTCACCATCGACTCTCCCGAAGCCAACGCGTTCTGCATCCCAGGCGGGAAAGTGTGTGTGTTTACTGGCATTTTCAAGGTCTTCCCTATATATATATATATACCTGAATATATCTCAACACATTGAATTAGACGCTGCGAAACGAAGATGGACTGGCTTCTGTCATGGGCCATGAGATAGCCCATGCAATTGCCCGTGCGTATATAGTCGTATATGATGATATGTACTTGGCCATATTGAATGAGTTAGGACACAGCGCTGAGCAAATGTCGATCAGTGCCGCGTTGTTCCCGATCTTACTTCTCCTGCCGCCAGAAACCTTTCATCTTGCTCGCTTGGTACTATCTACTATAGTATGTACTACTAGTAACATACTAAATGTAACGTTATAGGCGTTTAATTTGGGAGTAAATCTCCCGTTTTCACGCAAACACGAGCTCGAGGCTGACGCGATTGGGTAATATATATATATATATATATATACCTCAATGGTTTGATATATTTACCTATCGTGTAGATTGGATCTGATGGCTCGAGCTTGCTTTGACCCCCGCGCCAGTCCCCAGGTTAACTCAGTACACTCCAGTGTCATGTTCATTTTGGCTTTTAGATGTTTGAGGACTGGGAAAAGCAACACATTGGAAGTTCCCTCACGTATTTCTCGACGCATCCCCCCAATGCCGAGCGATACACGCTCTTGAGGTAGTTCTTCCTATATATATAATATATATATATATATATATATATGTATATATGTATATATATTATTGATGCTAAATGGTTTCGTAGGGAGAAAATGAAGGGACCGTTGACGTACTATAAGCAACATTGCCTCGACCTCCAACACCACTTTCGTCGACATGTTTAAATATTTTAATATTAGTTTCTAATATTAACAAAGTATTTGTTCAAATGGGGGTCAAAATTTCAGGATTTTTCAATATTTTGGAAATCTTCAAGTGCGTTTTCTCGCCATCACGTTTATAGGATATCAAGTTGTGATGGACGACGGCATCAACGTGGAATAATGCATATATCTTTGCTTGATTCAACCTAGTTGATATAGTAGAATTAAATTACATTAAATTACTGAGTAATATAGTGCATATTTAATGTGAATAACATACCTGACCTTGAACCGACTGGGATATCGAACAATACCGGATACGTTATCCGGATAACCTCCCCACGTGTGTGGTGGACTGTTATTCCCAACTCGTCTCAAGCGAAGTCGTTGCGGAAGAGCGAAGAAGCGTCGCGATGGTGTCGTTCGCATCCCCTCTGTTCTGGCAGATTCACTACCTCATCACCAACCTCAGCAAGAAGAACTTCAAGACCAACGTCGCCGAGCTGAACCAGGTACGCCCACCCATCCTCTCCACCCCCTTCCTCATCGACGCCGTGTGCAGCTGGTCGGCCTGTATGGCGAGGACGCCCGCGTGTTCCTGCTCAGCTGCCTGGTGCAAGAGATCGACTTCCGCGACACCAAGAGTCACAAGGACTCATTGAAAGTGCAGCTCCTCACGCATGAGCTTGGCCAGGCGTCGACGCGGCCGAACTTTACCACGTTTTTGTGCCAGGCAATTGACGGCGCCGCGACGTCGACGCCCATCACGGAGGAGTTTCTCACCCAGTTTTGCAAAGTGATCAAGCTCAATTTGGCCCAGCAGATCACCATCGGACTCTCTTTCGCGCAGTCGGAAGTCCGCAGCGTCGCGCTGGAAGCGATCGCGTTTCTCAAGCTCAAGCTGCCCGAGTTGAGCATGGCAGGGTCCAAGCTTCCCCCGGACGTGCTTCATTCCCTCGTGTTCCTTCTGCGCAATGAAGACGCGTTCCAATCGGACTTGGCGCAAACCGATTCGTTCCTCGCCGGGATCGCCGCCGTGCACCCCAACGAGATGTCCAGCCTCGAAATGAAGCCGCTGACGCTGGGCAACCTCGACCACGTGGACTGCATGTTGACGTCCGCGCCGCTCTTGGACTCGCTCATCGACGACGTCGTGGCCGGGTGCTCGTTCTACGAACTCATGGAGGACGTCGGGTACGGCTGTACGTCGTCTCCCAAAGTGTTTCGCAGTTTGCTGGCCGAAGCCGGTCTAGACCACTCGCCTTCCATCGCCCCAGGTCAAGTCGCGGGGATGCTGTCCATGTTGACACGAACGTACAAGGGCCATCAAGCGAACGTCGAGCTCGGCGCGGTGTTGCTGTCCAACTTGCCGAGCTACGAAGGCAGCGTCGAGAACTTGCAGCCCAAGCTGGACACATGGAACATGGACGTGATCGCGGACGTGTTCCAGAAGGATTACCCGTCCATCAAGTGGCTCAAAGTGCAGGAAAAGCTGGATCGCGAAGACCTGGTCGTGGACTCGCCCGCTCGTTTCCGCGTGCTTTTGAGTAGCTTTCAGCGCATCTCGCACTCCAAGTTCAAGCTCCAGACTCTCTTCCGGCCTTGGAAGTACAAATCCGTCCAACTGGCGGTGGTGAAAGCGGCGATTCAGTCGCCCCCCGAAGTGCTCAGTTTTGCCGACAGCGTCAACAAGCTGAGTCCATTTGAAGGCGCGGACGCATCCGGCGTGCCGAAGAACGGCGTGTGGTTCTCTCTGGACATTGTAGAGACGCTGATTTCGCTGTCGGAGACGGACGGGTACGCCGCCGTCAAGGACCTGCTGGACGCCGCCAAGACCCAGTGTCCGGATGTGCTCATCGCGAACGTCGCCCACGCCACATCTCGGTGGAACGGCCTCAAGGAAGAGGTATTCTGCGACCTCTTTGGGCTGTACGTAGCCGGCTCCCGCGCCAACGCGGCGCTGATCGTCCGCCATCTGTACACGATCGCGCCTAAATTGGTTCTCTTTGCCTGTGTCAAAGTATGGATCGCTGCGGCTTCGAACGGCCCGGGGGGTTGTCTGGCGCGGCTGTTTTCGCTGCTGAAAAGCACGGGAGATGCGTACGCGGCCGTTCTGCACTCCAACTATTACTCGTTGGCGATCAATATGGCGGTCGTGGGCGCCAACCACGACGTTTTAGCCCTGGAAACGTGGCTTCTCGAGCGCCTCAAGACATCTCTGCTGCCATTCGCCACCAGTGTGATCGCGTACCTCCATCGACACGCGAGCCGCGCGATCCCGAAAACCCAACTGACCCCCGCTACGAGCCACATGTTTACACTGGAATCGCTGGGTGTGATCGCCAAGTGTCTGCTGCATGTCGTGGCACTGCCGCCGTACTTGGTGGCTGAAGTCAAAGCCATCGTGGTCAAGACAACTACAGCGCAGACGGACGACAAGAGTGTGCCGCCGCCGCCGCTGCCCCCCCCGACCCCCCCCCCTTCCTCTGTCAGTGTCGAAATGATTGAAGAGCAAGCGAACGCGTACTTTCAGCAGATTTACACTAGCGAGCAAAACATCAACGACGTGGTAGCCATGCTCAAGCGGTTCCAGTCGTCGAAGGATGACACGGAGCGCCAGATCTTTGTGTGCATGATCCACAACCTGTTTGACGAGTACCGGTTCTTCCCGCGGTACCCCGAGACGGAGCTGCGCATCACGGGCGTCCTCTTTGGCAAGCTCATCGAGCACCAGGTGCTGCCGTCCACGTTTCTGCAGACGGCGCTGCGCCTCGTGCTCGAAAGCCTGCGTGAGCCCACGGCGTCCAAGTTCTTCTTCTTTGGCGCGTGTGCGCTGCAGCAGTTTGTGCCGCGGCTGCGCGAGCTGCCTGCATATTGCATGAACTTGGGCCAGATTGCCCACCTTCAGCATGCACTGCCCGAGATTATGCGCCAAGTGGCTCAAGTCACGAGGAACTTGGACACGAGTACTAGTAGTACTACTAGTAGTACGAGCCCCCCCGACGGGGCTGTTGTTGCCACGGCCACCAGTACTACGAGCCCCAAGAAACAACCACCGCCGTCCCCCAAGATCGTCGTGGCGCCGCCGCCTGCCGCGCCCGCCATCATGGACGTCGGGCACATCTTTGGGGCCGAGTATGCGACACTTGACGAAACTATCGACAAGGAGGGTGATGATATTGTCGAGCCCGAGCCGTCGATCGTGGACCGGCTGCACTTCATCGTGAACAACATGAGCATTTCGACGCTCGAAGGCAAGTTGGCCGAAGTTCGGCACCTTTTATCGCCAGAGTACTTTGGCTGGTTTGCGCAGTACTTGGTGGGCAAGCGCATCGCGACGCAACCCAACTACCACGCCGTGTACCTGATCTTTATGGAAAAGATCCACCAGCCCAAGCTCGAGACTGCCATCTACAAGACGGCGCTGCGGCACGTCCACCGCCTGCTGGTGTCGGGAACGATCACCACCAACTCCCAGCAGCGCTCTTTGCTCAAGAACTTGGGCAGTTGGATGGGGCTTATGACCCTCGGACGCAACAAAGCGCTGCTCCAGCGTGATTTGGACCTGAAAGAGCTGCTATATGTCGGGTACGAGACGGGCCACCTCATTGCCGTCACGCCCCTCGTGGCCAAGATCCTCGAAGGATGCAAAAAGTCCAAAGTGTTCAAACCGCCCAATCCGTGGATCATGGGTCTTATCCACGCCATGTCGGAGCTGTACAACGTACCCGACCTGAAACTGAATCTCAAGTTTGAGATTGAAGTGCTGTTCAAGTCGTTCAAACTCAACGTTGAAGACCAAGTCAAAGCCAATTTGCTGCACACTCGCGGCCCGCCGCCCCGCCACGGCAACCCCGACTTCAACATCAAAGTGGACAAGACCACCAGTGCTCCCAAGCCCAGCACCCCCAAACAACCCCCCCCCATCGCTTCCTCCATCTCTTCGACGCCCCCCAAGACCCCATCCGGACCCGTCTCTGAATCGACCGTGATCCCCAATCTGGCATCGTATGTGTCTGTAAACCCAGACCTGCCGCTACATCATGTGAATCTGCGGCGACTGGTGCCGCTGGCCGTGGACCGCGCCATCCGCGAAGTGATTACCCCCGTCGTGGAGCGCAGCGTGACCATTGCATGCATCACGACCCGGGAAATCATCCTCAAGGACTTCGCCACGGAAATGGACGACGTCAAGATGCGCAAGGCGGCGCACGTGATGGTCGCGTCCTTGTCGGGGTCGCTGGCGCTGATCACGGCCAAGGAACCGCTCCGCAACTCGATCGCCGCGCACCTCCGCGCGCTCCTCCCGACCAGCGAGCCGCACCAGGTGGACCATGTGGTGAATGTATGCGCCAGTGAAAACACAGACTTGGGCTGCATGCTCATCGAGAAGGCGTCGTCGGAGAAGGCCATGCGCGATATCGACGAGGCGCTCGCCCCCGCGTACGCCGCCCGCCGCCGCGGCGCCAGAGACGTCCACACTCCCCCCCATGTGTTTGAAGGAAGCGTGTCGCCGCCGCCGTCGCTCCCGCCCATGTTCCTCCCGTCGTCCACTGGAATCCTTCCGCTCCAGTGGATGGTCTACGAGGCCTTCCAGCGCATCCCCCGCCCCACCACCCTCAACACAACCGAGTCGTCTTCTCTTGTGAGTGGCGGTCTCACTGTCCAGCTGGCCCTGGAGCGATTTGCGGGTCTGATGGAGAAGTTTGAAGGGTTTGTGCAGCATATTGTCCGCCAAGCGACCGCCGCCCAGCGCGATTTGCCGCCGCTGCTGTCGCTGCCCCATGACAGCGACGTGTTTGCCATCCTCCGCGACGTCCGATCCGTCGGGCAGGCGGTGAAACCCGGCTTGCGCGAAGAAGCATGCCTCAAGATTGCAAATCGCATCGTGAAATGCATGTACGAGCTGGGAAAAGGCCGCGGGGACGAGCTGTTTCTGGACATCCTCGTGAGCTCCCTCGATATGCTGGCGGCATCCTGCGACAGCCTCAAGAAGGAAGTGGTCCGGTGGATTCTATCCATGCCTGTGGAAGACAAGCTCAAGCTGCACTGCGAGATCTTGATTGCCCTCGTTCGGCTAAAAGTCGTCGAAGTGTCGGAGTTTGACGAGTACCTGACCCGCAACATGGAGCGCACGGGCCTCGCGATCGAGTTTGCCGTGTACGTGGTGCGCCAGTGTCTATTCTTAGAACATGTGACACTTTTCCACCAACTGCCGCTGACACTTGAAGCCCTCGAACGTATCGTCGAGCGACACGGGGGGGGGACCCCCGGCAATAAGAACATTGCGATCCTGTCCAATTTGCTCGATCAGGCCAAGAAGCAACCGCAACTGAAAAAGCAACCAGTACCGCCGCCAACCGCCATCGCATCCGCCCCGACGACCAAGGGAGCTTCGATCGATCAAGCCGCCGCGTTTCGGCACACGGTGAGCAACGCCATGGAGCACTGGGTGGCACTTGTGAGCGACCCCAGCACCAACCACACCAAGATGCACTTGCAGTTCGTGTCGATGCTCAAGCAGTTTGGCCTGCTCAAAGATGAAGACACGATGGGGCTGTTGTTCCAGTGCGCCGTGGATATCTGCGTCGACGTGTGCGTCAAGTCATCTAGTACTAGTACTAGTAGTACTAGTTCCAAAGCCAACCCGTTAAACTACACTGTGATCGACGCGCTTACGCAGCTCATGGTGGTGCTCATCAAGTTCCTCGACCCCCCCGCTTCGTCCCCCAAGGTCATGACGGCCGCCATCGCCGCCATCGTCCATGTCCTCGTGCACTTGCATGACCACCCCACCAAACCATTTGATCAGCGTGTGTTCTTTCGGCTGTTTGTGAACCTGCTCAAGGAACTCACGGTGCAGGAACCTCTGCTGGATGCGATGCAGCTGGGCATCCTCAACACATTTGCAGGCGCGTTGAATACGCTGCAGCCGGCCTACGTACCCGGCTTTGTGTTTGCGTGGACGGAACTCGTGAGCCACCGCTGCTTCATGCCGCTGCTCCTCCGTGCCCGCCACCAGCGCGGGTGGCAGATCCTCCACCGCCTCCTCGTCAGCCTCCTCTCGTTTCTCGAGCCATTTCTCCGCGTGTCGTCCATCGACAATCCCAGCATCGCCGCCTTGTACAAGGGCACTATGCGCGTCGTGCTCGTGCTTCTCCACGACTATCCCGACTTTCTGAGCGAATTCTACCCATCCTTCTGCGACACGTTGCCGCCGACGTGCGTCCAGCTGCGCAATGTGATTCTCAGCGCATTCTCCCGCACCATGCGCCTCCCCGACCCCCTCACCCCCGGCCTGCAAGTGTCGCAGCTGCCTGAAGTCAGCGTCTCCCCGCGTCTGATGCCATCCTGGGGCACCGCCTTGGCCCACAACAACCTCAAGGAGTACCTAGATGAGTTTCTGCGGGCGCCATCGAACCGCGCGTCTGTGTTTCCCCACGACTTGATCGCCAAACTACACTATCAATCACCGAAAGAAGATGGACACTCCAAGTACGCTGTCCCAGCGCTGAATGCCGTGGTGCTGTACCTGGGCAAAGAAGCCATCGCAGACATGGCGAACGAACCGACGCACAAGTTCGAACAGTCTGCCAGCATGGACGTGTTCCGGTTCCTCGCCGAAGAATTTGACATGGAAGGCCGGTACCTGTACCTGTCGGCTATGGCCAACCACTTGCGCTACCCCAACAGCGATACGCACTACTTTAGCTGCGTCCTGCTGTACCTTTTCTCGCACTCGACCAGCCCCCTCGTCAAGGAGCAGATCACCCGAGTGCTGCTGGAGCGACTCATCGCCAACCGCCCGCACCCGTGGGGCCTGCTGGTCACGTTCATTGAGCTTATCCGGAACCCTACCTACAAGTTTTGGGAGCAGGACTACCTCAACTGCTCGGCCCAGATTCGAGACGTGTTTGACGATGTCGCACGGACGTGTATGGGCAATGTGCCGTTTCCCCAGCGCCCTGCTGCCACTCAGATTGACCAGTCGTCGTCGTAGAGATATATATATAGAGGGAAATATCCTGGTGGTTGAGAAATATGTTCTACACTGTTGACCGTACTTGTTACTTCGAAGTAACAAGTACGGTAAAAAAACCCGAAACCCCGAAACCCCTCGAAGTAGTATGGATTGAGAATTAGTGGAGATTCAGAATGAGGGCGGCCCTCACTAATAAATATACCTCGGAAGTATGTGTGATGGCTGAAATTAGAACCCATTAATTGACCGCTCCCACGACGACCTAACCCCTTCGCACCCATTTCAGACAGTTTTGATTGGCCAACGCCACTGAACTTTAAACGTTCACACAAGCAAGAAAAACCTCATCCAAATCACTGGTGAAAGTAGGGTGGGGGAATAGCTCAGGTGGTAGAGCATCGGTTTCTTAACTCAAAGGTCGTGGGTTCGATCCCCGGATTCCCCGGATTATTTCCGCAAGGATTTATCCGTCCCTCCCCTGGGGAATCCGGATAACAAGGGCTGCGTACGAAGACGAGGACCGAACTTCGAAGAAGATCGGTCGAAGCACGAGGTATGAAGCGTTGCGCGAAGTAAAACCGAAGATTACACACCGCCCCTGGTCGAGCAGGCGCGTTACAATTGACGAAGCGGTTCCATAACATGTGGTTCTAGTGTCGGCCCTCGCGGAGGAATGTCTTAAAAAATGATAATCCAAACTCAATTAATCACTGGTGAAAGTAACGATGATAGAGCTCATTACTTGACCGCTCCTACGACGACCTAACCCCGTAGTAATGGGTGTGGTCACTGCTCATTGGATATAATTCATTGTGCTCAGATTCATTTTGTATACACTATACAGTGACTTGCGGTAAAACCCGCGCAGTTGAACTATGTAGGACTAATCAAAAATTAAATAAATTTGAATTTGTGCCGAAGTAGAATAACCACTCTCTATTGGCTAAATCTCTTAGGAATAAAAACAACCAATCACCAGCTAAAATTACCGGTGATTGGCTGGATTCAAATATTTGAACACAATCACTCACATAGACTTGACCACTAAAAAATGGAGCAACGCAAGCGAAAGCAGGTTCGATACAACAATGGACATCGCAAATCCCTGTTGGCGGCGTTCGATGCAACAACAGGGATCAGCGAGCGAGAGTTCTGCCGACAGAAGAAGCTTGCGTTCTCGACTTGGCGTGACTGGCGGAGAAGGAAGGACAAGATCATATTAAGCAAGCGCCACAGCTGCCGCGCGACATTGGGTGGGCAAGGACACCGCGAGCTCATTCCCTTCAAGGACGAGCTGCTTGCATACATGCGTGACCGCCGAGGCACAGCACGTTACGTGCGTGTGTTCCATCTGATGCGGTGGATCAAAGCGAACAAGAAGCCTTGGCTGGAGCAGTACTTGGCAACGAAGACGAACGAAGAAGTTGCTTACCGTTCGTTTCGAACTCTGCTGTTGAGGTTCTCCTACCGTCACCGCTTTCGATATCGAGTGCCGTGCAAGAACAAGGTGTCTCAAAAGGTGTTGGACGCTGTGTGGCTGGGATATGCAGCAACCTTTTGGAACAAATACGCTCCGTACGACAAGCGACAAATTATCAATGTCGACGAAACTGGTGTATTCTACGACATGCCGCCTGGTAAGACGTTAGCGGAGATCGGTATGTCAAGCAAGGTTTCTGATGGTGAGAAGCATTCCGATCGACTGACGGCGGTGTTGTCAATTCGTGCTGATGGTATGTGCATTCAAACGGATCATATACTTACACATGTTAGGTGGGAAGTTGCCATTGTTGTTTATTCTCAAGGAACTTCCTGGTGGATTTATTGAAAGACAAGAACTCGACACTTACCCCCAAGGCCACCATTATGCTGTCCAAGCAAACGCGTGGATGGATGAACGTGTTTGGTCAATTTATCTTGACGAGGTCTTGGCGCCATGCGTGGAAGACGCATCAGTTTTGTTGGTTGACAACTTGGCGTGTCATGCCTCTGAAAACTCTTACAACAAGGTTGCCGAGACTCTGTTCAGTGTCGTCGAGCCACTGCCTCCCAACTCAACTAGCCGGTGTCAGCCACTTGACGTGGGAGTAATGGGTCCACTCAAGGCTATGATGAAAACGGCGTGGCTGTTAGAAGAGGACATTAGAAGTAGTGACGAAATATTCACTGCTCAAGAAAAGCGATTGGCAATGATTAAAAGGACGATTAGTGTGTGGGAAAAGATTTTCTGCGGAAACCATAGTGAAGTCATTTGAAAAAGCAATTCCCACTGTAATCGAAATATAACATGGATGGTTTTAGAATATATTTGTTGTCACATTATATGTGTAATGCGTACTATCCACAGGCTTGCTAAAGTCGGCAGGAGGGTTCTGAGGGTAAACCCCCCTCCTGAATCGATTGCCGCTGTCAAAATTCGAATTGGCCTCGATTTACCATTAAATGCGACATTTTAATTTGTAACGATACGGTTGCCCTGAGTGGTTGAAAAAGCCATTTTTCAACCAATAACAATTCACTACGACTGTTGCTCAACAAACTTGAAGTATTGAGTTTTTTTATAATCCATTTTTAAGGGATGCTACTCTTCATACAAAATCCAAGTCCCATGAATTATACCACTGTGCGGGTTTTACTGCAAGCCACTGTACTTAACAGCAACCAGCCACCGTGGTCTACAGTACATGCTTATAAAAAAGGACAGTACATTGTGCGAGTAGTACGAATAACAATAATTATGTAATTATAACACATTCATGTAGAACTGAAACATCTTCGCATTCCGTACCTTGTGCAGTGGTTCAAGACACTCAAGGAGACGCTGAACCTTTACCCGAGGTTTATTCACGTTGACAAAGACAGCAGTCAGATACATGCTGTACGAAATGTCTGGTCGGTGGCAAAGATCCAATTGTGCTTGTGGCACCTTGATCGTACAGTCCGACAACGATTTGCCAAGCAGTCAACCCTACCACTCGCCTCAATGTAATAGTGCATATTGTAACGAAAAGTATACCTGATTAGACGCTCATAATTACAACCGGCTCGTGGCGACCTACCTCCCAGCGATATCTCCCGACTTCCCCCGCCACGGCATCATCGATGAGAGCAGGTCGAGCTGACGCAACGTCGATGCAGACGGTGATAACTTTGGAGGCATAAACGACAAGGTACAACCCGCTTAAAGCCCCGACGAACTACAACCCGATGGAATTATCGATGAGCGACAGCCCGCCACGTTTTCTGGTAACGAACGACATGAACATTTGAGTACTTGGTGAATTTATTGCGGTGACGCAATCCTAGGTGTAGTAGAAGTCCTGGGCGGCAAAGCTCACGTTGATGCCGTGTTGGAGATAATGAAGAGGCACTTCAAGACTCATCCAGTACTACGGGAGTATCAGCGGACGAAATCTACACTGCTGCAGTTCAAGAAATGCACGTGTTCTGTACACACAACTCGTTGGACTTCGTGTGGATGTCCTTGTACAACCAATGGTACAATCCATTCGCATGGAAGCTGTGGGCGCGATCATCAAGTCCTGGTGAAATATCCGAGTTCCGAACAACAATGATGGCCGAATCGCACTTTTCGGTTTTGACGCTAACGCTGCATCGCGCTTCAAACTTGCATGCACTCGAAAGAACTCGCAACATCACGCAACACAAATACCAAATAACTGGAACACGTCAGCAAGTCCTTCGACCCCAGCCCGCGCGTGAGTCTTGGACCACGAACGAAATCGTGGACGTTTTCTTCGCCCCCCCGATCGTAGACCCCGTTTCCGGCGCAATGACATCCAAGTGCCGCTTCTGTCCTCCGACTCCCAAGGGCACTGTTCGGGTTTCGGGGTTTCGGGACTATGTCTCAGTCAACCTACGGCGGCCTCGACGCACACCTCATCCCATCAGCGTTCGTGAACACCAAGAGTGAAGTCGTCTTCAAGACCCTCGATTGGATTATCAGCGACAATCTGCCTTTCAGCTGGTTTGAAAAAAAGCGCACCCGTGAGTACGGCTCCTTCAAGGGACTATCGCACAATCAAGTCAAGCACTACATCACTACATGCATCTGCTGCGCGCCTCAGTCGTCGAAGACATCATGAAGGAACTGCCGGACAAGTTCGGAGTGGTCCTCGATGGATGGACACAAATGCGTGAACACTTCATTGCACTGTTTGCTGTTTACGTGAATGCGGGCGATCGCAAGGAGGTCCTGCTCTCGATGACGCCTCTAATCAAAGACACAAGCCTCACCCATGTCCAAGGGGTCGATGAACTACAACCGAGCCCTGAGACCGATGAAATCGTGTCGCACACCGCGGAGAAGAACGTTCACTGGATTCGGAAGCAACTGGCCAAGTTCAAGCGCTCTACCACCTGCATCACCTTTATTGTCGCGGACAATTGCTCCGTCAACAAGAAGATGACGACAGACATGAAGGTACCTCTGCTCGGATGTGCATCCCATCGGTTCAACTTGGCGGTCCAAGACCTCATGAAGGGCGAGTTTGCTGACCTGCTGGCGAAAGTCCAAAAGGTCATGTTGTCATGCAAAGCACCCAACAATGCGGCCGAGTTGAAGAAGCTGACGTCGTTGAAGCCGAGGTTCCTTCAAGCCACACGTTGGTCGTCTGCGTTCGAGATGTTAAGACGCTTCCAGAAGCTCCTGCCTTCGCTCGAACGGATGCCCAAGCGCGCGAAACTGAAGATGGTAGTGTTTGCGGTAATATGCCGATGTTACGATGCAGTCACATCCCATGACCTTGCATACGACGAAGCGAGAGGTAATGGCAACGTCTGTCATCATACACTGTGCTTGTTGGCTAAAATTGAATAATGACTCATGAATTGTATTTCTGACCAACCGTTGAACACACACCAACGGTCGTTTAGCCGTTGGCAGCCAATAACATACCGAGAAAACGTTACCGTTAAAATCACCGTTGAAATAGCAGGTGAAAGCAAACGTTGAAAACACCGGTAATTCATTTGTAGTCTTTTGGATGTTGAAAAGGCAAGCTCAACCGCCGATGAAATCACCAGTGGGTGTCTACCCAACTAACACTATTGGCGTTGCAGGTATCATCGTTGCTTTCACTGGTGATTTGGATGAGGTTTTTCTTGCTTGTGTGAACGTTTAAGTTCAGTGGCGTTGGCCAATCAAAACTGTCTGAAATGGGTGCGAAGGGGTTAGGTCGTCGTGGGAGCGGTCAATTAATGGGCTTTGCTGAAATTTGTGGGTGGTAATCCACTTTCGTGCAATATTGGGTGTTTGGGGTGTATGTAACGATGCCCAATTGCTCACGTAGTCATAGAAAGCCATCAAGTGTGGTGAAATAGCCCTTGTACTGTACATGATGTCATGACAAATCCCACATACAAAAATCAAGATAATAATACTTACTACTCAAAATTGGTAGGCGATCCACACTAATTCTACAAGCCCATAATTAGTGTGGATTGAGATATATTGCGGTCATGCGCCGTAGGACTGGTGACGAGGTTAAAAATTAATGCGGTCCGCACTAATTATGGTCATCGGTGTAGTAATAATATCGTGACCGACCATTGATAGGTCGAGTTTTGCTTGACTGTGAGTTCAGTTTCGAATATTTTAGCCGCTTTTTTGAACCAGTATTGTTCAGTGAAACATAGAGTTTTGGATAGATAACGATTCGCTCTCCTAAAAAGTGTCGAGTTAAACGGTTTATGATTGCACCATACTAGAAAGTTTTTGAAGTTGACGCTTTACACAGGCGTACCGACTTTTATACTTGAGTTAAGTATTGAAAACGTAGATTTTAACCACGTTCCAGAACGTACAATTACCATGTTATAGAGGTTTATTGAATTCGGCAAGATACAGTCTGCACAATAAGTATAGACGCACCGCAAAATTTTGGGTTCACAAAAGATCTGCCGATGCTGCAGCCACGCTAGTTGTATGTGCAGAAATGTACTAAACCCAAACGGCATTCCCCAAAGGAAACAGTGGGTGCTCATTGCCGTTCACAAGAAAAACCAAAATTTCGAAAATTTGGTTGCACAAAAAGTATAGACGCACTTTGAATTCGAAGCTTCTATTGGATATTTTTTGCACTTTTTAGCCAATTATTAGCCTCCAAATTGGTACACATGTTTTACAATCATGACGAGCTACCACCAGCAATCTCAAGACGGGAAAAACGACCCCCAGGGATGCCAAGGGGGCCAAACATCACCGAGCAAGAGAAGGGCCAGATAATGGCTTTTCTTCAGCTCAAAAAGAGCTATCGCTACATCGCCAAAGCAATCCAGCGAAACAACAAGCTTGTACGTTCGTTTGTCCGAAGTATTGGCCAACCAGTACCGCAAAAAATGCATGGGAGACCCTTCAAGCTCAAGCGCCGTGACGTCCGATGTATCTTTCGCCTCGCCACCCGCAAGAACATGTCGTGCAAGCAGATTTCGGCTGCACTAGTAAAGTGTAAAGTAACACGAAACACTGTTCTTAACGTGTTAAAGTAACACGAAACACTGTTCTTAACGTGTTAAAGTAACACGAAACACTGTTCTTAACGTGTTAAAGGCGTCTAAATTCGCCAAGTACATCAAGCGCCGGTCCGGTCCACGACTCACCCCCAGGTTACGTTATTTACGGACGAAAAAAAGTTTAACCTAGACGGCCCCGACGGTTGCCAGTACTACTGGCACGACTTGCTCCAGGATGTGGAGACGTACTCGAAACGTGTCGCAGGAGGTGGCTCGGTTATGGTGTGGGGTGGCATGAGTTTCTACAACAAGACCTCGTTAGCCTTCCTGGAGGGTCGCCAAAACTCCCGAAAGTACCAAGAAACCCTGCGATCGCACCTGTTGCCCGCAATGCGCGAACTTGTTGGCTTGGTCCCTAACCATGAGGCCATTTTTCAACAAGATAATGCCAGTATTCATCGTTCCCACTCCACCATGGCCTACCTTGCTGAAATGCCGTGGCCAACAATGCCTTGGCCTGCCAAGAGCCCCGATTTGAGCCCAATTGAGAATGTTTGGGGCGTTCTCGCGAGGAAGGTCTATGAAAACGGTCGTCAATTTGAAAGCAGAGCCGAATTGAAAGCTCAGATTGAAAAATCATGGGCTGAAATCGATCAGGGGTACCTATCTAAGTTGGCTGAAGGTATGCCAACACGAATGGCCCAAGTTATCCTCCGCCGTGGTCAATGTATCGATAAATAAATGTATCGATTGAGAGTGCGTCTATACTAATTGTGCAACCAAATTTGCGAAATTTTGATTTTTCTTGTGAACGGCAACAAGCATCCTATATTCCTTTTGGGGAATACCGTTTTGGTTTATTAAATTTCTGCACGTACAACTAGCGTGGCTGCAGCATCAGCAGATCTTTTGTGATCCCAAAATTGTGGGGTGCGTCTATACTTTTTGTGCAGACTGTATGTACAGGTAACGACGGAAATGGATTGCGGTTTTGATTGGATGACAAAGTTGGCCCATCAATGGTCACGTTAATATGTTTGGCGGTGATGTGACTGACGATGTCGCATGGGCAAAGTGTCAATTTTCTGAATCACATCTACTTCCTGAACTCTTTAATGCACATTTGTATTTACCAATTAGTTAGCTTAAATGGAAGAAGATCATGCCGTGTGGTCTTATTACAGTCTGTATTACTAGGTACATACTTCGAAGTATTTTATGCATGGAGTTTTTACATTTGTACAACGACTACCGTAATAAATATGTCTACTCACATAAGTTCACATCAACCGTGGTGCCACAGCCTGGATTCAAACCCATGAAGGAGATACTGATGCGATCTGTACAGTAAGGACGGGTATCGCTACGAGTTCGGTATGGCTGTACCCCAAACTGGGCTTCCATGTACTGACGCCGTTCGACGAGTACCTGTAGTTGTGAATTTATATAGATCATTGTATTATATTCTTTCTACAACTTCGTAGTAGTAACTTCCACAACAAATTTGACAAAATAATTAAATTTTATTGTGAATTTGAATGCACTCCTTACCAAAATTGTACAGTAAATGCAAAGTAATTTGCATTGGTTCAGAAAATAATTTCAGCTGAAAACAAACTCCATTCAATTTGTCCCTCCATACTATTATAGTAGTGTACTGTATTTCAATTTTATACCAATCACAAACATCGGCAAATGGAGCATCTCTCAACATTATATATATGCTTGCTGAATTATATTTTCACACCATAACATGCAGAATCTGTTAAGATCAATTCGAATCAGTGTCCGAAAATCCGACCAAAAATGGTTCAGAAAATCGATGCACTCCCTTCCCCTTCCTCCAACGGCTAGTCATATTGAGTCGTAAGGGAAAAGGGTTACAGTATACTTGTATATATTATATACAAGTATACGCTGATAACTCACCGCTGATAACTCACTTGTGAGAAATATATATATATATATATATATACTCTGTACATATTATAATATAAATTATTGATGACTCGCTATCAAGGAATACATGTTATGATGCGGGAATGTACCCTGGTAGAATATTCATATATTTGGTATTGGTTACTATTTTAATAGTAACCACACCAAATATATGAATATTGACAATATCATACAATTAAAATAGTATTATATTGTCAGTGATGGTTTGATGACGCAGACGCAGAAACGCGGTTTCACGCCAGAGCAACTGAACGCAACGGGAAAATTGAGAATATTTGGCCTTTTTTGGCTATATTTTAGTCATTTTGAAGATCCGGACAACTTTTCAGCCAATCGTACGCGATGTAGAGTGATGCAGGCACACCATTTCCGCATTTGAACGACTTCACATATGGGGAACAACGCGGCGTCGGCCGCAAAGGTTGCCCCGCAGGAGTGCAAGATGGACGTTATGACGACACCATCGAGGCAGTGGACGAGATCTCCGTTAGGACAACACACGATAGATGTGGACGCGACGTTGGCGGCGATTGCGATTCCGTGGCACTGCATCCGACTCGGGACCAAGTTGCCAGACACGCATGCGCCATGGGTGTGCATCAACAAGAGCTGGTGCATCGGTCCCAACTACATGTCACGGGTTATCGTGAAGCAGATCGACGACAGTCGCTTGGACGCGATGGCGCTGGCCAAGGAAGTGCGGGTCATGAAGCAGTTGAGTCATCCGAACGTGGTTCAGTTCGTCGGGATGACCTGCCACGGCCCTTACTCGTACATGTCCACCATGTCATTAGCGTTTTCTCACATAATGCTAGGTATGTCGTGACCGAATGCTTGGAGAACGGTGACTTACGGCAGTGCCTGCAACGAGTCAACTTGGAGTCTCATGTTCTCGGCATCTTGCGCGACGTTGCATGTGGCATGTCGTATCTCCATTCGCGCAGTCCCCCCATCCTCCATCAAGCGTTGCATTCCGGCAACATTCACATCACGTACGTACATGCTTCATACTCATCTCATCCATGTTTCCAGGCATGACTTCCGAGCCAAGATCGCCAACTTTGAGTGCAGCCGGTTCAAGCCGCCACACATACATGCGTCGCAGCCGTGGATAGCCCCCGAAGTGCTGGATGCTTCTTCTGTCAGTGGCGAAATGGCGGACGTGTACAGCTTTGCACTAGGTAAATATATATATATATATTGCTACTTTCTAATTATTATCTTAGTGATGGCAGAAGTGCTGAGCCAGCGAAACGAATCGCTTGGGGTCGAGTTGGTCCAGCTGTACACGGCTTGCTTAGCTAAAAATCCCACTGATAGGCCAACGTTTCCGAGAATACTCGACCAGTTGACAGTATTATTAATATAGCTTCTTGTAAAATATATTTTCGAAATCGTCATATAATGGAGAGTTTTTGAACGATAAAAAATATATATCATGATATTAAAACCGACATATAACGTGTTAGGAAGCGTCGTTGCTTATATTATTAGATCACGCAATATTGGCTAAATTGATCGGGATTCCTTGGCTGCCTGCATGCAAAGGACATATGAGGTGGGGATAAATGAATACGGGGGAAGCATCTTCGTTACCTGGATGTCCGCGAGGCGTTGGGATAGGTCTTTCTCGAGCTTATCCAGCGCCGCGTCCGACAGAGAAGGTAGCGCTAGATGCATAACAGCTTCATGCAGCCATTGCCCATGCAACCCCGCCAGTCGAAGGAGTTCCGGCTTGATCTTGTGGGCAAAGAACGCATCAAGCGATTCGACGGCTGGCACCACGGCGGATTCAAAGGCAACTACATGCAGCTTTGCCTTGGGAAGAAGCAATCCACCCACCACGATGCATTTGACCCAGTAGTAGAACGGAACCCAAGAGACAAACCCTTCCATGTACTGCCCGAAAAGCATGATGGACACGAGCACGGCCCAGAACTTGAGCACATGACGACATTGCGAGTGCCGCTCCTGACGGTGCAGCACCTTCAGGGATTGGTACGCCCCTGAGAAGAGCCCAAAGCACCTACATCCAAGTCATGCATTAGACATCCAAGCGCGCAGATGCTTCATGGAGAAGCGTACGTGAGGCCTTCGCTCACAAGGTACAGCGACATCGCCGAATAATTTGGTCGGCGATCCTTCACAAGTAACGTTATCCGAATACCACATTTCCCCATATCCGGATTACTAACTCTTTTTGGTGTGCTTCACACTAATTCCGACATACATATATATAGTGTATTATAGCACATTCGTCCACAGTTTGTTGAGCAGGTGCATGCACGCGGGGTTGTTGGTGACCCACACGATGAACTTGGCGCGCTGGGTCGGCGTGAGGATGTTCTGCAGCTGGTCCATCTCCGTGTCCAGCGTGATGTTCTTCTCTTCGACGTCGTGCTTGAGTTCGTTCAGGAGCTTCAGGGCCAGACGCAGGTTGTCGCAGATCTTGACAATCGCCCCTCTACATATCCACCATCATGATCCTGTCATCGACGGAGTCTACCATCTCCATATTCGTTACCGGTGGGACTGGATGTTCTTGCGCTGCTCCTCCGTGAGTCCCAGGTCGTGCGTGAGGATCGACAGCAGACTCGTCTCGTCCTCGCCATCTTCCCAGAACGCATCGTCCTGCTTCAACGCCCAAATGCACATCTTGGTCACTTGCGTCGGCATGAGCAGCCGCTCCAGTTGATGCAAATGGTAGCTCAACGCCGATCGCCGCGCTTGCCCATAGTCCGAGTATTGCTATACACTTCAAGAATGAATACTTCGAAACGCCGGAAACCTCCGAGAATACATACCTCCTTGAAGTTGTCGATTTTGGCCGCCAAGTCCTGCTCACTTGCGCCTTCGGTGATCATGTGCTCCAGCTCGTGGCAGATCTGGTACTTCTCGTCCTCTTCCTGCTTCATCGCTTCCTTGCCCGCCTTGAGCTGTGATCGGAGCTCCATGTTCTCCTTCTCCAGCAACTTGCATCGCTCTTCCACGCCGAGAATGTGGTCGCGCTTCCGACGGCGGCACTCCCGCGCCGACTCGCGATTCCGCTCCAGCCGTCGCTTCCGAAGGGGATTCGTGCTGGACATGGATATGTCGTTGTTTTCGTAGCTAGCGGCGCCGTCCAGGTCCGACTTGACGTCCGAGTTTGTCCGAGGCTTCGTCTTAGCCGACATGGGATGATGGAGCAGGTGCAAGGCAACGGCGTCGTCGGAGCTGGCGCTCGTCGTGTCCGTGGACTTGGAGGGCGGCGCTGTCATGCTGAAGAGGTTCAGTGGGTTGTTCGTGGTGGAAGTGTTGGCAGCCGTCGCAGGGACAGTGGTGGCAGCGTTGGGTTGATTGAGCCCCCCGAACCCAAGGAATCCAGGGTACGTCGACATGAGCGGCAACATCTGGTTGAGTTGTTGCATTTGAAGCACGTTCGGAGGTGCGTGGCTGTGTAGGTGAGGCATCCCTAGCATCTGCAGCCCCGCGAGGTTCGGCGGTTGCGTGCCCGTTGCAGGGGTGTGCTTCTTCAGGTTCGCCTGATGCTTCTGTGACTCGTGGACCAGCCACTGGTACATCTCTGGCCGGATGTTGCTGCTGGGTGCGGTGGACGAAGCGGCGGCGGCAGCGCGGGACGCCGCCTTCGTTGTCTTTCGCTGTTCCTTGTCCATTATGACGGTCAGGGGATTCTACGTCACTGGAGGACCGGGTGACGCAATATCTGTTTAAAACTTGCGTCATCTTTATCTTGGAGTTTGTATGTTGTTTTAAACCCACTGCTGGATCTCACTGCAAGTAGTTCTGTAAAGTGCGATTTGAAATTCCGAATTATATTATATGCAAACGTCATAGTGAACAATAAAAATACGAGTTTGACATGTTCAACTTGTGCGCATGACCACGTCCCTTGAGAGCCAATCAAATGCGAGGATTCACGGCACTTTGAAAGGATCCAGTGTTTGGGTGAAGGAAGGGCATAGAACCTCAAAGGAGTGCAAGTTCTGAACCAATAATGGCGCACAATGGTTTGTTCACAAAGTGAAAACCCAAAACCACCAATGCTCCGGGGGAAGGCGACTGCCTGTTATACAGCAGCGGGGCTTCGGGGGAACCGTATTACAGCATGAAGCAGGGGCTGAGGACAATGTACATACCTGAGATACAATACCTATGTCCAGCAGCGCAAGAAGTGGGGTAAGTTTACAATATAATATACTGGACGAAGGAGCGAACAAGAGCCATGGAACAAACCGTTGCATTTCCTTGCATTATGTAGAGCTGTGGCCAATGATATAACGGTATATACTTTGTGGTCATGGCGTAACCCCCAAAACGGTTACATGTTCGCGTCCGTTACAGATCCCACATGTCGTAAACCTCATCAACATTTACAATCCAGCCATGGCGTGGCCGCGAGCAAGTGCCGCGACCGTGGGGTTGCTGAACCTTGTGATTGCTGTACTGCAGGTCCTTGCCGGCGTGAACGGGTTCCTGTCCATCCCCGACCTCGTCACGCTGCAGTTGGCGCCGATCTTCATCTCGGCCTACGCGATCCTGTTTGCCCTGCCGCTCTTCCTGTACGAATGCAAGTTCAAGCGCTTCCACCGCATCCTGCGCCGCCAGATGGGCTTCATCTTCCACTTCTACGGCCGATGCGCGTACCTGGTGTTCATTGCGTTCATGGACGTGGGTATCCCCGGCGGCCTCGGCATGATCATCGCCGTCCTTATCGGCGTCAACCTCGTCTTCATGCTGTCCTTGCGCTGCTGCGGCGTCCCCCTCGACGAAACGCGGCCGCTCATCGCCGGCCAACCCCACGACACGTACAATGCGACCGTGATGTCCCCGCAAAACGTTGTCAAAGTCGCCAAATTCCTCTCGTAAAACTGTTGATTGAAATAAACTCCCTTTACGTAAGAACTAAGGTAATCCATCAATATCGCGAACGCTTTTTGTGCACTAAAATGTCAAATGTTTGAAGCACTCCATCACAAAAAGTCCCTCGAATAAAAAAAAACTAAAGGTAGCGTTGGAAAATATAAATCCAGCTGCATTTTTTAGTGCCAAGAAGTGCCTGAAATATCCCAATAATCGATTTGTATTTTGAAATTATAACGTAACGTTAAGAATTGGTGAAACTTCTTTGGCTTTGTATTTCGCGAACGGTCGTAATATCTTAGT